GGAAGAATGTAGAGCCCATGGAACGAGCAACCTTAATTTTCAAAGTATCAAAATTAAAGTGTTCAGACATCCATTTAAGGTTCAGTTTTTTTAAGAGTATCCAGAGATTTGAAAGAACTTTTAGGAATCAGCAGGCCTGCTCTATGCAGAAAGATCAATCGTATGTAAGCAGGACCTTGTTTCTGTTATTCATAGTTGGCTGTGGTACACACTGCCTCATGTGGTAGTATATTAGAGACTGGTTTCCATTTTGCCTACAAGAGGATTTCCAAAGGCACAAACACCAAGCATCTCAATGGGAATGAAAGCCACTCTAGACCTCCCAATACTGGCCCTCATTTAACAACATGGCTATACAGACTCATACTTGTGACTAGTCCCGTTTTGGATTTGGCATGGGACTGCCCCAAGTCCTCCTGCTGCTAGTGCACACAGGAGTTTGACCCATGCAACGAGCCAGATTTATCCCTGCACTGCAACCAGTGGCAAGGCAGCTTCCACCTCTCCTGTTCAGAGCCGGTGCGGCCCCTGGCACAGCTTAGAGGAATCCAGAGGGCTACCCTAAGTTGCACCCCTGCTGTAATAAAACATTATGAATCACTGCAGGAGAACAGAACTGGCCATCCACCCCAGCCTGCTTCCCACCCCAAGTCACCCTATCCCGGAACAGCCCCTGTACCGGGGCTCCTGTGGAGACAGCTCATAGCAGCCAGAACCTGCTCTACACCAGGCCAAGAGCTCCCTGTACAGGGTGGTATTCTTCAGCCTAGTTGTCACAAAGGGACCACAGAACAGCACTCAATCGGGCTCAGCGTCAGCTTCCTGCCATAAGGGCATATACTGGGGGAAGAAGTGGGGGAGAGATTGAGCTTCCTTTCTTGCTTTTTAAACCCTGGAGCTCAATGTTCTCGGGCAGCAAGAGAGGGTGAGAAGAGCATGCAGCCAGTCAGCCTGGTCAGCACCAAGCAGCAATGAAGGCCTCCACTCCCCCTATGACGCTATCAGTGGCAAACACTGAAAATCAGTTATAGGAACACATGGGTGGAGACACAGGGCAGACACAAGAATGGGGCAAATAGAGCAGACAAGGGAAACAGGATGACGTGGGGAAGCAAGGGAGGGAGGCAGAAGGGGGAGCCACTGGGGCAGGAGAAGATAAGAGGAGCCAGGGAGGTAAAAGGGAGAGCAGCATAGCTAGGGGCAAGCAGGAGGGAGCTGTTCGGATGAGGAAACAGGAGGAGAACAGTGGAGCATGTTTTTTCATACTAGCTGGGAGCCTGGAGCCGTTGGAGGCTTTGTGTACACCCAGCTGACTTTTAGGGTTTAATACCCTTTTTTCCCCTGTTACCCTTCTAGGAAGAAAATATTCTCAATCCCACCAGAATGTGCACAGAACGGTCCAGCAGTTGGAGACTTGGCTGCCATCAGATCCCCTGCTTATCAGGAGAACTGCCTCTGGCAAACATTTTCACATGCTGGCACCCGGGCAGGCCCTCTCAGTGTGCGCTGATGGTTTTTATTAGTGTGAAGTTCACTGATAACCAGGGAGCATAGCTCCCAACCTGCCAGGGAATAACGGTGCAGTCAATGGCCTTTAAATTAGAAAGAGGCTGAATTTTCTGAAAAAAGAAATGAAAAAGTTTTAAGTTATGTTGGCTTCAGCTTCAAATTTGTACCCACCTGCCACTGAGCTGGATATCTCCCCAGCTCCAACACGTGCACTGACATGCCCAGTCTCTTGCAAGGAGGTTAGCAAACAGAGAAATACAGTCCTTTTAACTAATTCCTTAGCCTCCAGCTTCAGGGCCACCCAGTCCAGGGGTCTCTGCCACTCCTGCTCCTGGCAGCTTCTCAGTTCCAATCAGCTCTGCTCCCTTCCTGGAGCTGCAGCCCGAGGGCTGCTTCTCTGAGCCCCTTACTCCACAGACCCACCACAGGAACTAGCTCCAGCCCAGTGTGGTTTTCTCATCCCAGGGTACAGCTGGTCTCACTCAATCTCCCCCAGCTGCCCACTAGCAGCCCTTTCTAGGCCGAGCTGTAGTCCAACCCTCTTTAATTGGCTGGACTAGGTTTCCCTGCTCTGCTCCAGGGGAGCTGGGCTGGATTAGTTTATCCGCAGTGACAAGCTACCCTGTAACACCAGCCTATCACCTCAGCCCCACTGTAATCATGATCACCCAAAGCAGACATACTATTACATGCTCTTATGTGATGTACACTGACAAAAGGTATAGATAGATCTAGCAATGCATTCATGAAAGGCCTGATAAAACCTGAAATGTTGCTCTAGGAAATTCAAGTGGTATGTTCTAGCACAGTGGTTCTCAACCAGGGGTACACATACCCCCAGAGGTACACAGAGGTCTTCCAGGGTGTACATCAACTCATCTAAATATTTGCCTAGTTTTACAACAGGCTACATAAAAAGCACTAGCGAAGTCAGTACAACCTAAAATTTCATATATAGACAATGACTTATTTATACTGCTCTATATACTATACACTGAAACGTAAGTACACTATTTATATTGCAATTGATTTATTTTGTAATTATATGGTAAAAATGAGAAAGTAAGCAATTTTTCAGTAATAGTGTGTTGTGACACTTTTGTATTTTTATGTCTGATTTTGTAAGCAAGTAGTTTTTAAGTGAGGTGAAACTTGTGGGCACGCAAGACAAATCAGACTCCTGAAAGGGGTACAGTAGTCTGAAAAGGTTAAGAGCGACTGTTCTAGCATAAGTCTGCCTATCCTACAATGACATTAGTTGCTTTAACATATACTTTTATAACCCAATTTCACAATGAATGATTTCAATTTTAACATTTAGAAGTAATAAACAGCAAGAAATGACTACCAGTTTGCGGGAGCTACAGGGAAATTTGAGCCTCAGATAAGGAATGTATCAAATGATAAGATATATTAGAGGGAAGAGAAAAGGGCTTGCAGCAAAACAACAAAGCTCCATAGGGTTTACAAACATTTTATGCTCATGACATTTGCACTACCCAGTTTGTACAGTAATGGTTTATCATTGTTTCCTCGTTAGAAGCCAAAAACTGACTTTGTAAGACACACGTAGGCCCTTCATTCTCACGGTGCCGCATCGTTTCCAGAGGAAAAGCACTTGTGTTTATCCTGGGCATTATTTTGGATTTTATTTATACCAGCTCCTGTCCACGGTGCAAACTGGGAAAAGTCATTTGTCAGGAAGGGTATTTTGTCAAGTTCCAACCTATTTTCATAAATCCCAAATGAAGAGATATCTCGTCAAAAGGCATTTTTTGGCACACAGTCAGTTGGGTTCATCTCTTCAATTTGGCTTAAAACAATGGGCAAGGAATTGCAATGTCTATTTCTAGCCTAATCTTAGGTACTTGCATAGTCCTCATTGCTGTAGTATACAACCTCACAATCTTTAATGTAGTTATCCTAACAACACCCTGGCCTCACAGAGAAGTACTATTCACCCCATTGTAAAGACGGGGACCTGAGGCATAGAGAGACTTAGGCCCATGTTTTTAAAGGTATTTCTGCGTTGCTGCGCTCAGTGTGCAGTGCCTAGCCAATTTAGGAGTCAAAAAGGACATAGGAGTCAAAATCCCATTGATGGGATTTTGGCTAAGTGCCTAGGTCCCTTTCAAAACTGAGAGTTAGGTTCCTAAAACAGGCACTGCAACACTGAGCGCAGCACCACATACATACCTTTAAAAACATGGGCCTAAGTGACTTATCCAAGATTACAGAGAAAGTCTGTGGTAGAGCTAGAAACTGAACTTGAGTCTCCCAATATCCGTGCTAGCACCCTAAGGCCGTGTCTACACACTGTAGCAGCACAGCTATAGCACAGCATAAATCCTGTGCTGCAGATGCAGTCTAGGGTGACAGAAAGAGGAGTTTTTCCATTGCTGTAGGAACACCACCTCCCCAAGCAGTGGCGGATTAGCCACTCCCTGGCCAATTTTGGGGCCCTGAAAAAATGGGCACCCCCACACCCTGACCCGCTCCACCCAGCACTCCTGCCGGAGAGTGGGGTCAGGGCACAGGGGCTTGCCCCATTCTGCCCGGAGTTCCTGCCTACCTGCCCACCCCTTCTGCCTGCAGTTCCCCCCGACCCCACCACACTCCTGCCGGCAGCGGGGGGAGGGGCACTGCAGGTGGAAGGGGTGGGGAGGGGCCCCCACTTACTCTGGCCCACGGTCCCACAAAACCCTAATCCGCCCCTGTCGCCAAGTGATGGTAGCTAGGCTGACGAAAGCATTCTTCTGTCAACCTTGTTGCACCTACACCAGGGGTCAGGTCAGTATAGCTACGGATTCTTCACACCCTTGAGCATTCTAGCTATGTCAACCCAAATTTTAAGTGTGGACCAGGCCTAGCTGATCTCATGTAAAATAAGTAGGTTTCCAAAGACATAACTGGGAGCTGAGCATTTTACTGCCATGTGTGCCTTGAAACGTTCCCCTGCCCCCAATATTTCTTTTGTTTCAATTTTTATCACAAAATGAAAGTTCATTGTGGATAGTTTGAGTTCACTTTACACAAACCTTCTCTCTTATATCCCAAGGAAAGGGACGCTTACACCTCTTCAAATAATTTAAATCTAAGAGATTATATTATCAATAAGACTAACAATCAATTAAGATACTTGCACTTAAGAAATTATCTTCAGCAATGTTCACTTCACACATAATCACAAACCAAGTTTGCTTTTGTTCCAGATATCACCGAAAGAAAAAGACTCCAGAAATGTGGTTTAATTAGGCTGCAAATGTATTAAGTAGCATATCTGGGAACTATCCCACAAGAATTCATCCAGTGCACATCATCCTTCCTTGGTAATCCATTTCACCATTCCAGCTGCTAACCCAGTACTTTCAATGTGAACCCCACAGCCCTCCCCTTATACAAGAGTTAAGGGGGTGGGGAAGAGGTGGTTGTCTCCTCACCCCCACCCACTTCACTGTACCAGACATTAGGATCCTCACACCATTCCCCACCTCCATTATGAGCTGTCCTCTCCTAATCCAAGGTCAGGGAGCTGGGCCACTATGGAACCATCATCTGAACTGGGCACCTGCCAAGCTATGACAAAAACCTAATCTACCCACCAGGTCCCTGGGCTGCTGAGAGGAAGGCGAAAAACCTACAATGCCCAGGCCAGTCTGGCAGAAGGAAAAATTCCTTCTCAGCTTCAAAAAGGCAACTAACATGATGCCCCCAGCAAGGCCCCACGTCCCCCTCACTCTAATGCCAAAGGGGAGGTGGAGGGTGGACAGGGTTGTCCTCCAGTCATAGAAGGTGCCTGCAGGTGCCAGAGCCCCCTTCTCCCCTCCTCAAATGCAAGAAGAGGCTGAGTATCCACCAGGAGAGGAGCAAAGGGTGCAATCCTTAGACGAGCCAAAGGTTTTTCTTTCGCTTCTGGCCAGATGAAGCCTCCCCACTTCTGGGACTGTGAGGGGGAAATTTCCATGAGCATGTTCCAGTGCACACAGTGAACATAACTATTAAGATCGGCATTACTGATAGAGACTAGAACTATTGCACTGAAAGCTGAAGACATGTAGAAATGCAAGGGCACTCTTCCAGATTGAGGCAGAGTGACAAAACCCAAAGTACACGGATGGTATTGCTGCAATGCACTGTATTTTATCAATCGATTTCTAAAACAGAAAGACTCCCCAGACCAACAGAACCTATTACACTGTACACTTTGTTTCACTGGATAACATCAGCACGTACTGGGTACTTGGTAATTTATTAGAGGGATAAAACTATCAGTGAGTTTTCTCCAGAGATCCCTGTCAATAATTATTGTTATTCTAACGCTAATTCATAATTGTATGAAAACATGAAGAGATTAAAACATTGGCGAACAAACAACTGGTGTTATTTACATATAGATGTTTTGGTACTATGAGTTTAGATGATTTTATCTCTTGAGCTATCACAACACACACTGCAGATGATAAGCGATGGTTATAATATTCTTCACTTTATCTATTTGGAATAGAAGTCTCAGTGCACTTGCAAAGTCAAGGTCAATTGAAAGTTACAGACAAACCTGGCTACCTTGTACTGGGCTAATCTTCAGATAGAAAAATTCATATCAATAAACCCAGCAAGCTCATAACAGATGCAGTGGCTCCCAGCTGGTGCTACCACAGACTTCTCACACCAGTGATGACACTAGAGTAATACAAGGAAATACTGCCTGATTGTGGAGAAAGTCAAAGCACAGACAGGACATGATCTTCGAGCTGGAAGAAAAAAAAAAGAGAATGTAAAGAAGAGAGAGTGGGGAGGACTGCAGAAGAGAGAAAAAAATTAAAGGAGCAGGCTTGATCATCTTGTGGTTAAGGCACTGAGCTGGGACTCGTGCAATCTAGGTTCCATTCCTGGCTCTGTCACAGACTCTCTTTGGACCAGACACGATCTCACTGTGATTTCAGTGTGCCATATGTAAAACAGAACTACTTCCTTACCTCACATAGTTGCTCAGGTGTAGTACTGATGGATTGATGTCATCATGCTTATTATTCACTAACTCATAAACTAGTAATACGAAATGGGTCTCCCACTGAACTAGCCAAGTTCCACTACTCAGAACTCATGGCACGTTCTATGAAAACAGTTGAATGAGATTAGGGTGACCAGATGTCCCGATTTTATAGGGACAGTCCCGATTTTTGGGTCTTTTTCTTATATAGGCTCCTATTACCCCCCGACCCCCTGTCCAGATTTTTCACATTTAGGGTGCTGTCTGGTCATCCTAAATGAGATCCATCTATACCTCCTGACATCCATGGATCCTAATGTTATTGAGAAAGGATAAGTAGGAAGTCACAATTTACCTTCTCTATTTCATTCCATTTCCCCACCACTAACATCTCTATCAAATCCTCTTTTATAGTACAAACTTCAGCAGGCATAGTTATGTCAGTCAGAGATGCGATGAGGTGAGATCCCTGACTGCAAAAAGCACAGTTATAGCTTGTTTCATTCAGGGTGGGCAGACAGAGAAAGTATAAGCTATATTGGCAAAAACACAGTTAGGAACACTTTGCAGTACAGTATGCCAGTTACAGCTTTACTGGTAAAGCACTACTAGTGAACACCTGGCCCTGAACTGTCCCAGTCTTTACAATCTCTCCAACAGAAATCTTGCCATGTGTTATGCTGGAAGGTATTAATCGCTTCCATCTAGCAGATCCTAGATCTACAGATAACCAGAGACCTTCTAAGGTTGATGGGTGTGTTAACAACCCCTTTTTCAGGTTAAATGAAAGGAATCCCTTTATGGAGTGAAATAACTAGAGACAATAGAAGCTACTGTTCAAGATATGGGCCTCATGGCAAAGCCTGAGCAGGGACAAAGCATGTGGGTTGAAAAGTTTCCCTGGGATTGGATGCAAATGCAGGACCTGTGTGATTGTTTGGCAAACTGTGTGTATTGGAGGAAAAGTCCAGAAAGCCAGCAGATGAGAGAAGCAGTCTTGAGCAAGGCCCTGAGATACGGTTGCCAACCCTCCAGGATCGTCCTGGAGTCTCCAGGAATTAAAGATTAATCTTTAATTAAAGAGTATGTCATGTGATGAAACCTCCAGGAATACATCCAACCAAAACTGGCAACCCCATCCTGAGAGAGAGCCGAGAGACAGAGCGCCTTGGGTCACAGGACCGGTTGGAAAGTCAGGCTTAGAAATTGTGAGCAAGGAAAAGGCCTGGTGTTTGTTTCTACTGCATTGAGAGAAACAGAACTTTATGCATATTCTTTGTAAAATAAACAGGAGATAGATAGAAAGAAAAGGATGACCAGAACTGAACACAGAATTCCAGGTGAGGGCATACCATTGACTTATGTAATGGCGTTATAATAGTCTCACTACAGTAACTCCTCACTTAAAGTCGTCCCAGTTAACATTGTTTCGTTGTTACATTGCTGATCAATTAGGGAACGTGCTCGTTTAAAGTTGTGCAATGCTACCTTCTAATGTCGTTTGGTATCCGTCTGCTTTGTCCACTGCTTGCAGGAAGAGCAGCCCGTTACAGCTAGCTGGTGGGGGCTTGGAACCAGCCCCCCTATCAATCAGCTCCCCCGCTCCCCTAAGTTCCCTGTGCAGCAGCTGTCCAGCAGGCTAGCAATTGCAGCTGTCCCTTCCCCCACTGCCATGTGCTGCTCCTGCCCTCTGTCTTGGAGCTGCTGCCCGAGACTCCTGCTAGCTGTGCGGGGGGGGGAGGGGAGGAAGAGGGGGGCTGTCAAGGTGTCCCCCTCCCCCCTGCTCCTGCACCCCGCTTACCCCATCTTCCATAGAGCAGGGGGGACACATGACAGGGCTCAGGACAGAGGTAGCTTGCTGGCAGCAGCAGCTCTGGTCTCAGCAAGCTGATCTAATTAACAAGGCAGTGTACTTAAAGGGGAAATGCGCATCTCTTTCACACACACACACACACACACACACACGTCTCTGTCTGCGATGCTCTCTCCCCTCCCTCCATTCCTGCTGCCTTGTAGAGTGTGAGAATTAACCCTTGAGGGCTCAGCCAACTGCTAGTTCATCATTTAGCAGTAAGGCATTCCCTGGAAAATATCCCACCCTCTGTCTCCTCCACCTCAACCAAACTTCACAATCATCATCACTGTGTACCAGTATTAAATTGTTTGTTTAAAACTTATACTGTGTCTGTGTATATATATATATATATATATAGTCTTTTGTCTGGTGAAAAAAAAAATTCCCTGGAACCTAACCCCCTCATTTACATTAATTCTTATGGGGAAATTGGATTCACTTAACATCGTTTCGCTTAAAGTCGCATTTTTCAGGAACGTAACTACACCGTTAAGTGAGGAGTTACTGTATTTTCTGTTCCATTCCTTTATACATCCTAAGATTTTGTTTGCTTTTTTGACCACCACATATGCACATGCCTGATTTGGACATTCATGTGCCTGTCCAGAATACTTGGGGAAACTATAGTATTTAGCGTGAGAACAGCAAGAAGGGGTTAGACTCACACAGGCTTGATACCCTTCCTTCAGTTCCATAGCTTTCCCTGTTGTTGTCAGGCCCTTCATTTTGTATAGTTTTCTCTGCCAGAGCCTTTCAGAGCTATTTGTTTCAGAAAAATATTCAACCACTGTGCATTTTGGGGAGAAATCCAGTAATGCCAACCCCAGAGGTCACAAATTATGAGTCAGGCCCTCCAAAATCATGAGATTGGCTTAAAAATCATGAGGGGTTTTTTTAATAATTAATTTTGGATCTTTGTATTTGCCTCTTGGTGCTGGAGCCTTTAGGGTTCATGTTCTCAAGCTTTTTTCCACAACCAGGAGGGCTAGAAATCTATTTTTTTTAAATGAAAGCTGAGATTTTCATGTAATTACATATGTCTTGGAGCTGGACATTTCAGAAAAATGGCAAACATCATGAGAATTGGCAACACTCAAATCCTTCGTTATGAGGGAGAATATTAAAAAGATATCACCAGTCTATCAGCTTCCAGGAGGTGAGCCATGCAATATTGACAAGGAGGAATATTTTGTCAGACCATGGTGGCGTATTTATCTTTTAAACTAAGGATAATATAGTTACACTGAAGAGACTTATTTTAACTCTGAAATGCAGCAGAGTATCTATCTAGGTGCTTAGGCAGTCCTCATTACAATATTATCTGAGCACCTAAGGGTAACAGAGACTGAGAATTTATTCTGCGAAAGCTATTTTTAGAGACTAGTATTTTAAATAGATAATTACCCTAAGCAGGAAAGGGATTATCTAAATAGCATGCATGAGCACAGAACTGGGAAAGTGCGAACTGAATAGCCTGACTCCTGCTGCAGCCACTTCACCTTTCCTCCTCCGCTTTTCCTTCTGTAAAAATGGGGATAATACTGCAGTGCTGGGAGGGTTCAGTTTTGAAGGTAAATGCTACACATTCTTTAGAAGTTTTTTGTTAAAACAATGCAGGATGAGAGTGTGGTTAGCTCATCACAATAGCATGACTCCAGGGAAGAGACTACATAAACATGAATGGGAGAGCTGAACAGGCATTTAGGAGTCTGCAAAGTGCACAGTTTCCACTCTATCTCCAATTTCAGGGCCCTAAAATATCATTTAATCTCCATTTTAATTTTAAAAGAATGTATGAGTTTCTAGTTCTTTTGCTTACAATAACAACTGTGAAATCGTAAACTGAGAGAGAAACATTTATGATTATCAGAGCCTGCAGCCCTCAAGCGGCACTTCGTTTGGACAGAGAAAACTTACTGTGATGGAGCAGCAGCCTGGTCAGATGCTATTGATCACTAGGCCAGCCCACAGTCTATGCTAGTGAAATAACAAGTCTGGAGGATTTTCCTAGGCAAGTTTTCATAAGTACATGATAAAGAATGGTTACTCACTTTCTCGTAACTGTTGTTCTTCGAGATGTGTTGCTCATATCCATTCCAATTAGGTGTGTACGCACCGCGTGCACAGTCGTTGGAAAGTTTTTCCTCTAGCAGCACCTGTCAGGTCGGCTGTGGAGCCCCCTGGAGCGGCGCCTCTCTAGTGCTCTATATATGATCCTGCTGACCCAGCGCCTCCTCAGTTCCTTCTTGCTGGCTACTCCAACCGCAGGGAAGCTGGGTGGGTTTGGAATGGATATGAGCAACACATCTCAAAGAACAATTATGAGAAGGTGAGTAACCGTTCTTTCTTCTTCGAGTGATTGCTCATATTGATTCCAATTATGTGACACCCAACCTTACCTAGGCGGTGGGATCGGAGTTATGGAAGTGCGACTGAAGCACTGCTCTGCCAAAAGCTGCATCATCTCTAGCATGCTGAACAATGGGGTAATGACAGGTGAATGTATGTACATATGTTGCTGCCCCGCAGATTTCTTGGATCAGGACTTGGGCCAGGAATACTGCCGATGAGGCCTGTGCCCTTGTGGAGTGCGCCGTAAGTGTCAGAGCTGGGATCTGAACAACTCGTAGCATGTGCGGATGCAGGACATGATCCAGGAAGATATTCTTTGTGATGATACCGGGAGTCCTTTCTTCCGGTCTGCCCCTGCTACGAATAGCTGGTTCAACTTTCTAAATGGCTTAGTGCGTTCAATATAGAAGGCTAGCACCCGCCGAACATCCAGAGAGTGCAGCCTCTGCTTGCGGTTACTGGCATGAGGCTTAGGATAGAAAACAGGCAGGAATATGTCTTGACTCGTGAAAAAGTGACACAACCTTAGGAAGAAAGGCCGAGTGAGGCCTAAA